ATAATAAATATAGTAATGTAAAAAGTAATAATAATATTACATAAAATAATAGTAACGCATAATAATATACAAAATGATAATAATACATATAATATATATTATAATAATATTTAAAATAATAATAAATGTAATAATATATAAAGTAATAATAAAAAATATTGGCAGATCGCTCCGGTGGCCGTGAATATCACCGGAAATCAGTACGAGAATCTGATCTCGTTGAGTTTCGATCAAGACGAGTTGTTACGACGCGAGGAGATGAAGAGGGAGAGGGTGCGCAGGAATATCATTAATAATACTCTGCATAATAGCAATAAATAACATTTGTTAATGTATTATTATGTTTAATATTATTATTGTTATTGTTATAGTAATTGATATTGTTATATGTGCCGATGGTCTCGTTATTATTATTGTAGTGGGTGTGGGTGGGAGTGATTTTGGGGTTTTGATGGAGTTATTTTTGGTGGTACTTTATTTGTTGTTGTTGTAATTACTGTTTATGATTAGAATTGTTATTGTTATTATTATTATTATTATTATTATTATTATTATCATCGTTGACAACAGAGATGTTTAATCTTGCTAATATGGTCGAATAGTGAGATGCAAAGTTTTTATTTGCATCGATATCGAATTCAGCAAGTGAATATATATGTTGGGAAATGTCTTCATTAAGCCTAATGAGAACATAAAATGAAGTTGATTTTGGACTCGATAACTGGATGAAGATAACAGTAAAAGATCTTATTTTGCATGAATTATCTAAAATGATCGTTCATGTAACAGATTCGTGTTGTATCACTTATTCGTTCATCACATAGCATCAACCAAAAATGTTCTGCAATGATTTGTCTCAGTGGGTCACTGAGTCAATTCGAATTCATTCCAAATGAAAATAAACGCACATCAGTCAAAACAACACGATACGATTCATCATTTCATTCGCCTATCTCTTTTAATTATCATCAGCTCCGTTCAGTTTCATCCCATTCATCTCATTTCTAATCATTTGCACCAACCTCCGAGTGAAGCCATGTTCATTAGTCGTTTACGCAAACTTCTGCTCATTGTTGTAAGACTTTTTTTCCTCTTCTTCTTGCCAGCTGTTTTTTTATTTTATTTTGGCATATCGCAACAGTTCCGATTTCTTTTGATCGTCTGCAAATGCCACGAAAACATTGTTCATTAAGGAATTTCCATTGCCAATTTTGTTCAGTCTAGTGATAAATTTCGTGCAATAAATCGGTTCTTTCAAACTTGTTGAATTAATCGATTAGGAACATTTACTTAGTGAATCGGTTTCTTAAGGAATTTTGACACAATCGGGTGAGCGTTACGTAAAAGAGGTGTATGCATACATCCTTAAATTGACATATTTTCTGGTGGTGATACTTTGACAGCTGCAACAAGGATTGCTCTGGTGATGATCATAGTGCAACATCAGCTGTCTGCAATAAACTAATGTGAAATGAAAATTCTAGGTGGTTTTTATATCGCTTTTGATATCGTTGTCACTTATCGGTCTGAAGCGATCGAATACAGTATCTGAACGCAGTAGTTCTGATGCACCATCATTTGACCGTATCGATTCATATGGTTCGTTTCTGCCGTTGTTCAAGTTCATCGATTCATTTTTACGTGTTACTTTGAGCGAGGAGTCTAAACGTCTCCTCTGCAACGCTACAATTCTTTGTGAATGTGTTTCTAGGAAATCATTATTTGTTTTAATATCCTTACAACTTTCGTTGAACGATCCGCAGTCATGTAATTAATCACCAATGTATTTCTACAGATGATGATGAGGCGTCGTTACTGGAGAACGAATGCAAACTCCCAATTATTGAACCGAATGAAAAAGATATTCAGAAATACGTGAATCATTATAGGTTCATTTCATCGTTCAGTCGTCTTTCGTCAATTATTTATCGATTTCACAGATGAGAATTAATAGATCGAGTTGAATGTGTTTAGCAAATCACTTCTGTAAACATTTTACTTTTAGAATTCTCAAAACATCATTTTGATGAAAGGTGCAAATCAAAACATAAAAGATGCACATATTCGGTCGGATAAAATGCATCAATTTAAAATATTCACTCTTCAAAATAAACGTCAAAGAATCGTTGTGTTTATTTGTCAGTGAAATCTCGGACCATAGACAAAAGTATTAAGATCTGGTTGAAGCCACGAAACCAAAACCACTTAATTTTGAGATCATTCCCTAGCCATATTGATTGAAGGGATTTTGGACATTACGGTTATTGTTGAATGCATATTTATGCGAATGCAGATAGCTCTAGCACATTCATTCGCGTTATTCATAGGTCAATCGGTTGTAATTCGATTATGCCAAACATCGTGTCGCTCGATTACGACGGTTTGATAGTGGTGCATGAAGAAATGGAATTATGGAAACGTGCACGCACACCGCCGTTCAAGTAAATAAAAACGTTCTTCTAATTTATATATGCTGAAAAACGAATTTCTAGCGCCAATTCACCGGACACTTTCGAGTTACATCGCACGAACGAAGTTGAGTCGAATTTGCACATTTCAGTCGTTGATGTAAAGCAACAAGTATACAGAAATTAGGCGCAGGATTTCAGTCTGTTGCGTGAAATCAAAAAATCCCTATAGGAAAACTGCCTAGCGCATAGTTTAGGGTAATAAAATTTTCTTGAGCACCAACATTTGTGAGTGTCTGGGTCAAACTTTGCTTAGCAATGGAGAGAGACGTGGTGTGACCGGTGCTGTTCCTGTTGAACAATCAGTTATGAGACGTAGCCTCTTTCACATCGTATCAATAACTGTGCCTTCCTCTTGCTGCTGCATTCACTACACTAGTAACAGCAAGAGCGACACAATGTCAAATTATTCGTTGCAATAGCTGGTCAAAGTTTCAGATGTTTTTATCGCGGTCTTGGTGGGGGTCTTCATCCATCAATTACCCGATATGACTGGATTGGCGAAAAAGTAGAAGTAGGTCAATCATTGCCATGTTATTGCAATGCCTTCTTACTATTGTCTGCGAAATCCCGAGCGTTTTTTAATCTCAGGATCGGGACGTAGGTTCAGGAACATAATAGTTATGAAAATACTGCAAATATAATTTTCGGCTGATCGAAATGATTCTTTACATTGTAAAAAAATTAAAATCAGCATTGAAGATTTGTATTCCAACCAAACATTTAGAGAACATAATAGATTTTGTGGGTTGTAGCAAATATCGCTGAATATGAATGAATTGGGGATAATTGGTGTGTAAAACAATATGATTAGTTACCGAAATTATATAAAGTACTGTGCTTTCAAGTCGCAAAATCCCACGATTTACAGGATCAGAACCCCGATTCCAAAGTTGGAATCCTGTATAGATACTATTTAGTAGAAATTAAAAGATTGATAGAGAATGAGAAATTGAAACTGATGTGGACCATCAGCTATTATAGTCTAGAGTCTGTATGTTTTGCAGCATTCGAATAAACAGTCAATTGACTCGAAGTGGTAGAATAACGTATTTTTCTGCAGTGGAAGTGCATCATTCAAGAGTTTAGAGATCCTGAAAACTGGGACTGTTGATAACTGAATGAAGATGACCAACTATTTCAACACATTAGATTTGTTTGTGATCACCAGTCGGATGTAGCTGAACAAGCGATCAACTAGTGCGTATAACAGAATAAAAATATGAAATTAGCTGTCGACCAAGATGATATATAGTGAATGAGAGAAGGATACCAAGAGAAAACATTCAACTACTGTTGTTAATTGTAGCGATTATAAAACATTTGGAAAGAATGAAACTTCGTCTAGATAGTTCTAAGAATGTGTGACATTTATGTGTCTCCACGTTGTCATCATTATTCTATCGTTATTTCAACCTAACTCTATCCATTTCATACAGCAGCGTGTCTGGATTGATTGTCACCTCAACAAGTTCGTGAAATAGTAATCGATTTGTGTATTCTAGTTGAGTTTGAATCGGCCAACACCAGTACCGTTTGATCAATTTGTTGTGCAGTGCTATAATGCATCGTTGATTGGTTTCGTCAATAATGTGCCTCGAACGAATGGCTCAATGATATTCGAACGAGCGTTTGCAACGTTCTCGGATAAATTCTCAAAGGTATATTAGCTCATTGATCAAACACACTTAATTTCAATTCGGCATGAACGAATTCGTTGCTCTTCAGCTAACACTATAGAAGCTGCTCATGGATTTGATTTGGTAGCGATAAGTGGCCCGGATCAAATCATATACAGATTACTTAGATATGTCTGAATTATTCGCGCAATTTATATGCGAACAAAATCAAAGATTATACAATATTACAGTCGGAGTCAAAATCGAACAACGAAAATTTGCAAGCGAAAGAATTTGCAGCAGCATCCGAGGTAAGTAATGGTCTACTAAATGTATTTCATTAGTAACTGAGAGGGTGAAATAACCAGTGATGTTCAACTTTGAAAAGTTAACTCACTGTCATCTTTGTCTCCGGCCCACACCTTTGAAAGTTCCGGCTTTGCGCTTTTTGAATTTCCCACTCCCGCTCCAGCTTCTGCTCCTCACTTTTCAAAACTTCAGCTCGGACTCCGCATTTGCTTAAGCTTCAGCTCCCCAACTTTGCTTCATTCCGCCCCGGCTCTGGAAAAAACTGTGTTAGGTTGTTAGCTTTGGCAACTGAGTATTGCTGTTATATTTTCTGATGGAGACAAAAAAAATTTAATTTGGCTGAAGATCTTACGATTGGAGATTAGTAGATATAATGATGAGTTCCTCTCGAGAAGAAGCCGTGAGATCATTTGGTGATTGCTTTAATCGACTTGATAAAAGTCGAAAACGTTACTGAAATGTTGACTCGACATATCGACGCAGCCATCCAGCTAAATAACGCGTGCGATAGAATATTGAATAATGTGCACTCATAAAAATATTGCAATCGACGTAATTCAGCTTGCAATAATTTCTTCACACTGCCAAACTAATGCCATTATAAATGAGTTCGCATTTGAAGGAATCTCCGTCGCTGAGCATCCTCGTGCTTGATTCCACATCTCGCAATCAATTCTTGAGGCATATGAAGAGCACTGTCGAGTACATGCGACAGCTTGGTTTTATTTTTCTTGAAGGTTCCTGAGTGGCACTATCGTTGTTTCGTTCACTTTGTGTTCGATGTTTTGATAGTGGTCGACGAATTAGATTACTGCCTTTATGCTCACAATTTTTGTTTATTGAACGAGTTACATTGTATTATGAAAAAGGAAAGAAAATGAAACGGCAAATAAGAAAAAAAAATAAGACTGATCACTGGCTGATGTTTATTCGAATGACGAAATGCAGCTTCAAGTAAGACTGATAAGTTTTCAGACGAGCATTTTTTTAGTTTTTATGCACTAAAAGTAACAAATGATTAGATGAAAGAGCTCAAATCTGTAGAATGTTATCGTTGTAGGATACACAAAAGTTGGTGATAATTCGGCTGTAAATTTGTTACCTATATTGGCTGGTAAATCAATTTTACCACAAATTGGTGGCAACGGTGAAGAGATCATTCCAAATGGTACCATCGTTGATTTGGAGAAAACCGAATTCCTTTGGGATATGATGAAACGTGTGTTCGTTACACTCACTTCACGTTTAGCGTTGATTTGTGATAACAGTTGTAAAATAAATATTTCATTCAATACGAAAAACGAGCCAAATAATTGTGACTGATGATGGGAGAGGGATTGCGGGATTTTTCTCGACTTCTAAGCGGATTATGATCGACTCTTGTTGGTCTCACAATCAAGAATAATGATGAGAGGGGAGGACGGAGGGGAGAGGGGTCTAGATTCGTGAGCCGCCCAACACTGCTCGTGATTCGAACTTTTTTGAATATTAATTCTTTTTACAAGAAACCACTTTAAACACTGTTTAGAGTGCTTTTCGATTGATCCCTAGACTGACATCTCATTCTATCTCAACGAAGATGAGGTGAATATTTCAGAGAGAGGCTGTGTGACAATGTTAAATGATGATATAATGGACGTACGTCGAGGTTTATTTCATTATCCAAATGAATCTTTTATCGGATTCAAACAACCACCAACACACTTCTACTATCGCCCATTTCATCTGTTCAATACCCGTCATTCAGTTGTACCTAAAGTTAGTGGTCAGTGCAATCGTAGTGGACAGGTGAGCAATATTCGGTAGATAAAGAGTGATTTGGAATACTGAAACCATCAACAACAATGGACACGTGCTTTTTTTCGAAACAGCAGAAATTATGATGAAACATTTTGAGGCGAACGCAGAAGTCTATCTTGATATATGGGAAACATTCAGTCGTAAATTCAAAGAACTCTGTCACTTTTCATTCAATTTCCTCACGGGTATTTCTCACGATGATCCAAGCTTCATCGAAAGTATCGATTTACGTTTAAGGTTACTTTACGCTTTGTTCTTTATAGGTTTCATAATTATAATTTGTATTGTTTTTGATTTCCTCATTTACATCATTAAAATGATTTGTCACTCATCGGATTAATAACACGATAACCTTGCCAATAGCATCCTTTACTATTCACAACCGAATAGAGCAAGTTGCTAAATATGGTGTTGTTGTTGTATTTTGAATGGATAAAATTATCAACTCTAAATGTTCATTAGGTTTTGAAATTATAAGTCGACTCAGTTAATTTGAAAATCTTTTTCTTAACAAACTGGATCAAAAGTTGAACTGATCGATCGAGAACATAACACAACTATTCAGGACTTCATTACAACGTTTGTTTGCTGAAGGACTGATGAAGAATACAATATTTGTGATAATGGGTGATCACGGAAATCGCATAGCTTCCATTCAACGTTCGTACGTTGGTAGAATCGAAGAACGTGCACCATTGTTCAGTATTCGGTTACCTCAAGGATATGCTGCTCGGAATAAGGAAAAAATCGCTAATTTATTGGCAAACACAAAGAGGCATATGCTTAAAACTTGTTATGCACTAACTGTCATTAGTACAAAGCACTTACTCTACCGAAATATCAATTGCAACAACAGAACATCGTTAGTTAAAGCATGTTCGTTCTCTTTTGAAGGCTCACAAGTAATTTCGACGTGCATCAAACGCTAAAGGATATCGCAAAAGCAGTCCCACGAAGAGAACGATCTGCCTATGAACGCACCGGTATGGGAGAATTTCATCTATTACTTTCGACCATCTATTGAACAGCGAAATCAATTATTAGTGATTGTGAGATCTAGGAAATGATTGCAAATGAGTGTCATGTGATTCGTTGAACATTGCAAATGTGAGCTGTTTGCGCAGTCGTTATATTGATGCTTATGGCATATAAAGTTCACAGTTGATGGAATATTTAAGGCCTGAATATTTAAGGAAGAGGCGTGAGTTTGTTGGATGAGCGAGTCGACAAGCGAAGATCATGCGACGATGCTGGAATACCACCAAATTTTTGTCTCTGTATGGAAAATCGAAAAATGAGTCGAATGAACAAGTTGTTCTCATTATGCCGTCTTTTCCTCACATTCTTTCTCGAGTTCATCAAGTGCTTTTCTTTCTTTACATACGTAAAAACGAAAAGCACTTGATACGTATTTGTTAGTAAGAAATTCTTTTGCATGGAATCGAGAGAGAATTTTTTATCAGAAATACATATACATAGAGTTTATGATTATATATTCGTAGTTTATGATTACATTATTAACGATAAGTGACATTTTCTGAAATTTGAAATTTGAATCTTTTGAGTATCTCTTGGCAACTAAATTCAAGCATTGTTTGGATGCGAAAATTCATTCGCATTTAAAATTTTTCTGATCGTGAGCATTTTCCTCATTGTCAGAAATTTTTGCTATCAATGTCTCTCGCTGTGCATAATGCAACATTTAGTGAATCGAACGAATATAAAGAAGTATTGAAATTGACGAAGAATGAACTCAGTAAGCACAACTGTCTGAATGGCGATCAAGCAGAAATGGTGAAAGACACTCTCGACGTATTCGCTATTAATCAAATGGTTCGACATGGTCTTCGTGATCAAAATAAGTTGGTTCTATCGTTTTTTTTTTGTTTTTATACACTTTTTTATTGCGTGCTTGTGGATTTTGCAACAAGGATGAGAAAATTTTGAAAACAACCAAACTAATGCTGTTCTGAGAACAAATTTGAGATTAAAGCTATTCGAACAACTTGAATTTCAGTCGAAACAGAAATTCAGAATTTGAAGATTATTCAATAGTAAGAGACCCGATAATATCAAATTTTGACCGCAAGAGAACGAATTTACAGATGGCCATCCGTAAAAGATGCACAAGCAGCACTCGAGATCCTTTATTATGAAGTTAGCGTTACTGCACCACTCAATTTACCTGTTAATCAATCACAGTCCAGGTTACACTTAAATGTTGTTGGCATTTTGTCACCAGTAACTGAACTGAACTCCGAATATAACTCAAATTTCGTGTTTATTTTCTCGCCAAAGACCTTCCACATTCTCGTCGTCCTAGATTTCCTCCTAATGAGCACATTGCTCGAAGGAACTGAAACGCAAAACTCAAGTAGTTGATCCGAAACACTCACTAGGGATTCGTGTTTTTTTTCAAAGGAATTTGCTTTAGATTTTTTGCCACGATGCTTCCATACTGCTCATAATTATTGCAGAGTGAGTGTTCTATTCCGAGTGAAACACTACGTCCACGACCATCTATTTTCATTGGCCGATGATCCGTTAGTGTACGAAAGTCCATCATTTTGTCATAGCATCGGCTTGAAATCACTGTGCTCACGATGTGCCTCTGAACTGGCATCAACACAATCTTGACGATTCCTCTGCGCTCATCGATCACTCCAAGTCATTATTGGGCACCACTTTTGGCCTAGCCTAATTCGTTATCTTGGAACAGTAGTAATAAAGTGATGTGAGAAAAATAAAGCTAGATTAAGAGAAAGATAATCAAGAAACATAGACAGTATTCAATTGCTTGATATGAAGCTACAATTACAAAATGTCGACATATTGTCGACTGAATACGAGATTCATATGAATAAAAGCATCTCTAAGAAGGTTTCTTTTGTCGTCTTCTGATGTTGATATTTCAGCTGATCAGAAAAAAGTTATTTTTCTGGATTGAATGCAAATTTCTCTTTGCATTAAAACAGTACTCCGTCATTTGTCAACAAAGAGTACCGGTGATAACGTTAACCATTTAAAAAAGGCATGTGTCATTTGCGCTTGAAGTATTTTATATGTGGAGGCAGTTCTATGAGCATGTTAATACAAGCTCTTTATATAACTGCTAAATGTCTTTCGCTACCGTGAAGTTCGATCATTTGTCTGAGTCATGATTTGGGTTTTAAGTAAACTTAACCTTACCTCTGAGCCCCAACCTGAACCTCCAACCCTAACAATAAGTCTGATCCAACTCACAATCAGATGTTGCTGATTGAATATCGAGTGATCAAAAGACGCGGGTGATCAAAAGTTCTGCTATGCCATAAAATAAGCAAATGTTATTTTCGACATAGTTTCAAAATTATTATTTCGATTGCTCTGATCTCACAATCAGTGAAATATTGTAAAGAAATATTTCCATCGCTGTAGATAGGAAAGAACTCACAATCAGTTTTTTTCGGTTCACATTCCACTATCAACAGGAAGTAAACCTTTAGTAACGAGATTGTTCTGATAAAGGAACAGAAGGTTCACCAAAAGAACGCTTCTTGAATTCAACAATGACCCCGAGAACAGTAATTACCAATAATTTCGAGCTTAATCAAATTTTGAGTCCATCAACCAACATTCTTATGAACTTTTCCTGCACTTTCACTCCTCTATACATTCTAGAAAATTAGGATAAAAGACTTGTTGGGTGATTAGAATGCGTGCGTGTGCATAGTCTCAAAATTACTCAGAATCACGTTGAGAATTTTATTAGCTGATACAAGATGTATAGATGATACACGGATGATGGATATGAAAGACACTAAAAGAAAGGAGAGTACCCATGTGTTTCATAAGAGATGAATGTTGATTATTAGCAGATTGCTGCACAATTTAATCAACACAATTGCTTTCGAGCGTTTGACAGCACGTTAGCGCGGTTCACTTCCTCAATGATGACGACATTTGAAGATATTATTAATATTTCAAGAAACACTCATTCTCTAAATGTTGTTAATGCTATCATATTACTGTTATTATGTGCACACTTCTGGGCGATGCTTTATCACGGCATGAAAGATACAACGTTTCATGATACAATGTTTATGAAGGATACAATGTTTCGGATTACATCCATTTTCGAAAGCAACATTCATGTTGTTATCATTTTGTTTTGTTTTTGAAATGAACTGTTTATTCGTTCATGATTTCGAAATATAGGAACATCAACTATGTTTTACTGGTTCGTTGTAATTTCTCATCGCTGGCTGACTTGCATCAGCAAGCGTTTTGGAACAGTAAATTGATGCACGGTATACCTACACTTGTGCCTTTCGCATTGAATCCGTTACTGTGCGACCAAGAAAATAAGTGTCGTGAGACGGAATTTTAATTCAACAGATCAAAAAGTTTGTTTATAATGCATCGCATGATTCAAAACTGGTAAGCTTTCACTCCAAAGATGTCTGTCGGTGAGCTCACGGAGATCATCTATATTCACGTGGAATCAGCACACATTCGATATTTTAAAGTAATGAACGTGCATCGAAGTCAATAGTAATTTTTGTATCCAAAATCAAATGAAGCATTGATCATGAGAAAATTATGTGACTGCGAAACAAAAAACGCGATTCTCATCATTTAGCACCATCCACTTCTCATCTCATCTCCTCGAAAAATAATTGTTGTTTAAAGTGAACTAACTGCAAAATGCACTTAATTCAACGACTGCCTTTGCATCAAACCAGTTTGTGCGTTGTTTTGTTTTAATGGCATTAATGAGCATCATTCATTTATTTTCATCGTTCTCCTAAGAAAACATTATCAACTCTGATTATATCATCGATGACCGACCCGATCCCTACTCGTGCACGCTGTTTACTTAACATTTTAAAATCATTATTATTGTTGGTGTTGCTATTGCTACCTTTATATCCCTTAGGCATCAATTAGCAACGCTGAATATAATTTCATCAACTGAATTATGTAATCTTGGAAAGGATGCAAGATTCACCTTAATCTAGGATATTCGCCTTAATCTAGGATATTGAAAGGTTTGCTTTAAGGATATTGGTCGCTTAGCATGTAATCGTGCTTGTTAGGATGTTTGTTGCTTGATCTAGATGCATGCATGTTTTTATGAGGTGTATGATGCACATTGAGATGTTTTGAGAATGAATGAAACATTCAGAGTAATATCTATAATTACAAATAACAAATCTCAACGATATCAACCGCGATCGATAGTGTCAGAGAAGTAATGATTCATCAAGAACAATGAAGGCGGATAGTCTTTGAAAGGAGCAGTTGATGATGACAAATTATCACCTTACCACTTGTGGGCGTTATTGGTTATAAAAAATTGCTGATCGTTCTGTGAAGATGGATTTTTAGAAGTTACCTTAATTTATTTCTTAATATTTATAGAAATCAAGCAGTGTTCCTTTCATCAACACGTCGACATCACAGAAAAGGAACGCATCACATCCTTAATACCTCCCACAGTTTCTGTACTTGTTTTGTGTTCTCTTGAAAGTGACAAATGAATATTATATGATAGCACATAAACTGTAAGAGCTATTCCATTGTTCAAAATCTACAAATCCACACATTAAAAAAGATTTTAGCATTGTAATACGCAGTTTGGAATCTGGAACTAGTGAATGAAGAAGGCTAATTATACTGACTATCAGCTTTTCAGTCCAATGGTATATTATATGATTCGTCTGCATCTTATGCAGGAACATAAATACATAAGAATATTTTCTCGATTGAAAATCAACCAGCAGTGTGCAGTTCATCTTTGCGCTACATGATAGATGAGCAGAAGATAATAATCATAAATCAACTAGCAAATCATAAGTATATAATTCAAAAAAAATTCAAAAGCTTGTCATGCACATATCACGTTTCAGACTGTTTTCGCTATGATGGCTTGAAAGCACATCGATATGTCCAGTCTGGGTTTCACTTTTAAAGTTTGATTAGGCTCAGTTCAAGATGTTGTTTAGCGGTGGCGATCCTGTTAGTGATAGGTATTAATTCAGTAAAAGTTTTACAGTTTAGCTTTGACTACTGTTCTACGTTGGTATTCGTGATCAATGCCTTCATTCATATCAGTCCTCCATTGCTAAACAAATGCCTTATAAAGTTTTAAAATCATTACCTTGGCACATTTCACTCTATTAAGAAGATGATTCAGTAAATCTTGAGATTGATAAAGTATGATTTAGCTGTAACAATTCCTAACCCATGTCATACTTGTGCCATCTATTCGTCCTCATCCATTCAATACTTATTGGCAATCGCCAACTCATTTGACAGGTACCACGTTTTCCATCAATTTCAGCACTGCATCGTCTCATTTCGGTAATGTGAAGTATTGAATGAATTCAAAAATTTCCACAAAAAGCCATTCGGTTGCTTCAC